TCTGGGGCCCATCCAGCCCCCTGGAGGTCATGGCACAAACGCGTGCAATGCTCTGCCAGCTGCGGCGCTGTCAGCCCCATCTCACGCACCCTGGAAACACGTCCCAACGTGTATCCCCGTAAAGACCGTTCCGTGGAGGCCCAGGGCGGCACTATGCTGAACGGCTTGGGGGCCATGTCAATCGTAGGACCGCGTGTCGCTATTGCTAGACCAAGCCATTACGCCTGCTCTGCAGGCGGGAGGGGGTCGAATGGCATCGGGTAGATGGATGTATTCGCGAGCAGCAAGCACTCGCGGCACAACTCCCCGCTCACGTGGATTACGTCGTCGACACATCTGGCTGATGCGACAGTAGTCTCCCGAGACTGCCCGCGCCGGACATACCCTTGAGAAACGGGGTGGTTTGCGTCCTGGCACCACTTGCACTCTGCTAGAGCCAGAGCCATGGAACAACCAATTCTGATGCAGTAACCGCCGATTGGCAACCCGTCCATCTAGCATGTGGGACTGCCGACCTGGCGCAGATCGCCACGGCGTGCCGCCCGCAAGGCCCCGGACAGCTCCGCGTGGGAGAAAGTCTTGGTGGTCGACCCTCGCGCGGCCAGCGCGCCGCCGAAGTGCGATCTGCGGCGCTTGCTTCGGAAGACTGATCGTAGTCGCCCCTGTCCCGGCCTCGCGTCATCTTGCTCGCAGCGTCGTCAACCCGCAGGGGGGGCGTGGCTTCGAAGAACTGGCCAGTCCGCCTCCGTGGTGTTTGGTGGCCGCCTCCAGGGCACGGCTGACAAGTTGCCGGGGCGCTTGCAAGGCCAAGTGCTGTGGCTGACGATTTTCCGAACACAGCTGTGATGAAGTTTCTGGCAACCGCGGCGTGCAGGAGGCGGTGCCGAAAAAGCACTTCCGCTTGCATGTCGCATGCATGTGCGGCAGCCAGTTTGTCTGCGGGTTGATGGGGAGGAACCGGTGCATATTAGCGGGGATCGCGTCGTGCATCGCACGCTGCAGACGTAAATTTGCTTGAGGTTGCGCCATGCCCACGAGCTTCCAAGTCGTGCTGTTCAATCTGTGGTACAAGGCCAAAGCTTCGCGCGTTGATTTTTTCGCGATCTAACAGAACTTCTTGTTGTTGTCGTCTGGGACTCACACGCAATCGTGCGGAACGACGAAAGGCATGGTATAGAGTAAATAGTGGAGCATTGATGGCACCCATGCCTCCAATTGTCTATGGATGCGCGCATGGTGCTGCACGGACTGTGGGCGCCAACGTCGGTCTGCAAAGGGGTTATGCATGTGTCCGCGCCGCAGTATCGTCGAGTCCAACTGGCGACAACACCACGGACCTCCACAGCCAAATCCTCTGGCGAAAGACGGAGTGGCACATCCCAGCGTCTGTCCACCAGGTGCATCCCCGCGCCCGCAACGGCGGGCCGTGGAAGAAATGATGGGAGATCCGACACCGAGTCGAACGAAGTGCATTTTGAAAAGGACGACGCCGTTGCATAATCTAAGAACGTGCATTGGTCCCCCAAGGCGACTTTTGTCTGACGCCGAATCCAACCTTTTTTTGAACTGTCCAGGGGGAGGCGGCGAGAGCCTCCTTCATGCCACGCCCAACTATGGGTCGCAACGCTGGGGCGCTGATGCAGACACTCTGCGAACGGGTGGTAGGAAGACCTCGAACTCGAAGCCCGGCGTCCACTCGGTACCGCGCGATCCGCTGCCTGCACGGCCCTAATAATACGAGTAAGTGCTGCGCGGCCAGGGGTCCATTATCTACGTGCCATGCCTTTTCGATCATCTTCAATCGACCGCGCTCGCTTTGGTGCCCATCCACAGCACGAACAAGCTCCAAAACCTGTCGAATAAATTGACAGCGGCCCCAATCATGCAGAAGTGCGCTGAACAACACGGTAGAGGTCAGAGAAAGAGAATTGCCATGCCCATCCGCCTCGAAGACCGCCAACGTTAGGAGGAGAAGGTGGGTAATCTGTAGACGGTGCTGCTGGCGGAGGCGGCGCTCCTGGAATCCCAAACTTATCGAAAACTCCGACGTTGCTAGCCGTCCGGCAAGATCTGGGGGGCCTCCGGCGACATGCCTGAACAAGCGACGGCGGCTTCGAATGGGTTGGCTTGCCGTTGGCGCCTGGGCGCAGGGCTCGGATGACCGCGGTCTCAGCAGCTCGCGTGCTGGCGTCCGGGCCAGATCTGAGAACCATGTGGCACGCTTGCTGCGGCGGGAGACGGCGAGCCATCCCATATCTGTTTCTGTCGGCATCTGGAAGCGAACGTCGTTCGCGCAGAACCGCATGTTCAAGCCAATGAAAGAGAACACCCTCATATTGATGCTGGTCTCGTCGGGCCCGCTGCGCGACCCCTACGTACTCAAGCCCATGGCCAATCCATCCGCATGCGCAAGTGCTGCTCTCGTTTCGGACGATGGCCTGCCATTGTGGCGCCAAGAAGCTCTGGGCTGACAGTTGCAGAAGAGCCTGCCCGCCGAGCTCGACAAGCAAACCGGGTCGGTGAAGCAAGTCCATGTGCGACTCGTTCAACATTTTTGCAATGCGGACATATTGCTTGCAGGTGCGATGTTGTTTCATCCACGTCACCGCGCAACCTATAAAAGCTGCTCCCCACGCGAGCTGCACATCCGAAGACCACCGGCGCTGACGGCAGGACGTCGGAAAAAAAGCCACTGGTGTGACAGGGCGTGAATTTGCATCACACTCTGCCTCCAGGCTGGAAGGGGTGTTGTGCCAACCAGCATCCCAAACAAGCCAGCGAAAATGCATTCACAGAGCGTTGAAGGAGCCTGGCATTGTGTGTCGGTGTCACCGGTATCCATGTTCGAGCTGCTGGCGGCGCGGATCAGGAAGTCGCGAATGTCGCTGTTCCTCGCCATGTTTTGCGAAATAGTATGTGTATGTATATATTGGCGCTATGCAAAATATGGAATTGATAGGTCGTGGTGCCCCGTTGCAATGCCAGAGTGGCCCCGCGCAATACACCTAGTATTCTGTCACAACTTGAATGTAAACATACAAGTTCACCTCGCTACACAAGCTCACCTCGCTGCTGTCCCCTTGCTCACCCAGCAACGTGAGCAATCGAAATGCGACTGACAAAGCGCCTGGCGGTGAATATTTCTTTGACCTCTTCTCACGTTAGCCTAGAGCTCGTCCAATTTAAACGACGTCTGCTGCAGCTGCGGCTCCGTTCAACATGAAACGTGAGAAGAGCTGGCAAGAGACATCACGGTTACGGAGGAGGACAAGGGAGAGGGGAGGAGAGCGAGAGAGAGAGCGAGAGAAAGAGAGAAAGAGGAAGGACAGCCGAAGAGATATTCATTCTACACAGCGTGATAAATGACGGGCTGTTCACATCACGCACGCGCGCACACACGCACGCGCGCACACACGCACACACGCACACACGCACACACGCACACACGCACACACGCACGCGCACACACGCACACACGCACACACGCACACACGCACACGCGCACACACGCACACACGCACACACGCACACACGCACACACGCACACACGCACACACGCACACTCGCACACTCGCACACACGCACACACGCACACACGCACACACGCACACACGCACACACGCACACACGCACACACGCACACACGCACACACGCACACACGCACACACGCACACACGCACACACGCACACACGCACACACGCACACACGCACACACGCACACACACACGCACACACGCACACACGCACACACGCACACACGCACACGCACGCACACACGCACACACGCACACACGCACACACGCACACACGCACACACGCACACACGCACACACGCACACACGCACACACGCACACACGCACACACGCACACACGCACACACGCACACACGCACACACGCACACACGCACACACGCACACACGCACACACACACACGCACACACGCACACACACACGCACACACGCACACACGCACACACGCACACACGCACACACGCACACACGCACACACGCACACACGCACACACGCACGCACACACGCACACACGCACACACGCACACACGCACACACGCACACACGCACACACGCACACACGCACACACGCACACACGCACACACGCACACACGCACACACGCACACACGCACACACGCACACACGCACACACGCACACACGCACACACGCACACGCACGCACACGCACACGCACACACGCACACACGCACACGCACACACGCACACACGCACACACGCACACACGCACACACGCACACACGCACACACGCACACACGCACACACGCACACACGCACACACGCACACACGCACACACGCACACACGCACACACGCACACACACGCACACACGCACACACGCACACACGCACACACGCACACACGCACACTCGCACAGACGCACACACGCACACACGCACACACGCACACACGCACACACGCACACACGCACACTCGCACACACGCACACACGCACACACGCACACACGCACACACGCACACACGCGCACACACGCACACACGCACACACGCACACACGCACACACGCACGCACACACGCACACACACACTCGCACACGCACACACGCACACAGGCACACACGCACACACGCGCACACGCGCACACGCGCACATGCGCACGTGCGCACACGCGCACATGCGCACACGCGCACACGCGCACACGCGCACACGCGCACACACGCACACGCGCACACGCAAACGCGCACGCACACGCACACACACACACACACTCTTTCCTTCGCGGGCGATGTGACACCACAATCGCGATAGAATGTGCAAGGGATTGAACCTATTAGTTGCATCCTGCCTTGACGATGGTAAGGCCGAGCTGCGCTGAGAACGGCCCGCGGGAGGAGGAACTCCGATCAGTGCTTGGCATTACACGTGAAAGCCGCCGCCTCTCCAGGCTCGAGATTCTGACGGCACGCCCGGCTCGCGTGCGCGCGCGCCCGCCGCGCCCCGCAGGCATCCTGGCTTCGCGGACGCCAGAGCGCAGATGGTCATCCTCTACATGGGGCATACGTTGCTGGTGCCCGCCGGGTGGTCGTGGTACTCGGTCGCGCTGGAGCCCTCGGTGACCCAGCGCGTGGGCAGACGCGGAGGGAGGGAGGGAGGGAGGGAGGGAGGGAGGGAGGGAGGAATGGAGGAGGAGGAGGAGGAGGAGGAGGAGGAGGATAAGGTTTCGGATAAGGCCGTCGGGGGTCGTGCCGTCCACAACTCTGAGCACTTTGACCCCTGGGATCATTATGGAAGCAATCCCTCTTACCAACTTAGTTGGCCCGAGGAACTGCCTGGGCCGGGCGAAACAGGGGCTGCTCAACGCGGGCCCTCCGCCTCGCTGCCCCGCTGCATGGGCCCCCTGCGCCGTGGTCACCGATGGGCGAACAAAAACAAGCAGGAGCCAGCTGCTGCCTCCAGGGCGGGCAGCGGGCAGCTGGCTCTGAGGGCCTCCACTCCCCACCCCACTCCCCCCGCTCTCCCACTCCCCCCCCTCTCCCCGTAATCAAGGCAACACAAAGCAAAGAGCGGCCTTGAACTTCTTGTTCGTGCCCGACCCCACTACCCTTCCCGCTCGCTCCGCTCTCTCTCTCTCTCTCTCGCAGCAGTTCGAGAATATGGAACACCGCACCACACTGGTAGCGGCAGTGAGTGCTATGGACTGCTGCGGTCCTGCACGCAGGGCGATGGGGCGGGCCTGTGCCAAAAGAACACGCTCACTCTAAGTCAGAGATGCCGAGCCCCCAGCCAGCCTTGGTGGCGACTTCCTCACTCGTGAGCCTGGCGTCTCCGCTCACCCTGTTGGTGGTCGGCGCCTCCATCAACACGTAGTGGGTAGTCCACCCCTGTACCGAGGCCGACGGCTTGTTGCACTCTGCGCGCCTCTGGTGGCTGCCTGCTCCCGTTGGCGTTCGAGGCACGGGCTGCTGCTTCTCATCGACGATGTCGTATCCGAAGCCGTGCTCGCTCTTCGACCATTTCGTGTAGCAGCCCTCCAGCTCGTCGTTCTGCTTTCGGCCGTAATCTGTTTACCACGGGACTGGGCCCTTGATGAGCCTCGAGGTGTCTTCCACGCAGCCCTTCAGCTCCGTGGCGATCTTGATCGTGTGCTCGATCTTCTGCAGCTGGTGTGTGATGATCTCGATGTCTCGGACCCGCTCCATCTCCTCATACACGTTCTCGCTGCGGGAGCACTTCAGTCGCCCGAGACTGGTGGTGAGCCGCTCCTGGTGGCGCTGGAGCGCGACGATAGTCATCTGGACGGGGTCGTTACACTGCTTGAAGATCTTGTTGGTAGCCTGCATGCTGGAGTGCGCGATGTTGAGGCGGTACTCCATGCTGCCGACAACCTGCTCGCCCTGTCCTCCACGGTGCTGCGGGCGCTGCACGAGAACCTGTTGCATCTGCTGCTGCTTAGTCTCGTTCTCCTCGGCGCCGATGGTGTCCGCGCCGTCCATCTGTCGGTTGCCCGTCGGGCTGTCCATCGCTGTTGGAGGAGGCCTCTCTGCGTGTCGCTGTCCTGGGTCGGCTCGGTGACGTTGGAGCCGAAAGAGCTACGTACAGGGACCATCGTGGTGATCGTGGTCGGTGGTTTCCTCAGTGACCTTAGTTGGCTCAGTGTTTTTTTGTAGTAGTTTCCTCAGTCTGACTTGCTGCCATAGTGTCGCACTCGCATTGCTCATTCCACTAACCACAATCCACCACAGATAGTTGTACATAGTATCGCCGTCCCTGACCGTACTACCTGTTTCCCGTGGGCCTGTGGGGGCATAAGGTGTCTGTATGAGCCTCTGCCTTGATCGCGTGTAGGTGTGGGTCGGGAGGAAGGGTGGGAGTTGGCTCTCGTCCAATTGTTTGGGGGGGAGTGTAGTAAATGCTCCCCTCCCCCCGTTGGTTACTGCATCACTGCATAGTAGTCCCTAGTACGCAAGTCCCTGTAGTAGTTGGCAATACGCACTAGGTTACCCATGAACCCACCGTGTTGCTGTGCTTTGTTCTTCAGGTCCTGGAATCGTATCAGGCCTTGACTAGCTGCCATTGCTATTTTTTCCTCTCTCGTCTCTGGCGGCACTGCTGGTGGCCAGCGAGCAGGGCCGATACTGTTGACATCGCGGGGCCTGCAGCAGCTGGGGGCTCTGGCGGGCTGCGACGCTGGGCCGGGGCCTCTGGTGCCTCTGCGGGGTCTGATCTCAACGCTTCTTGTTGAGTTGGCGCTCGGTGGTTCTCTCGAGCCCCGTTTTCGGCCCCCCCCCTGATACGCTCTTCGTCCCGCCCTGGTGGGCGACGGCCGCGTGGATCGCCTGCTTGAACGTCACCGCCTGGAATCCTGGCAGCGTCTGGATCTGGCCCTCGTCGACGTTCTCTTTGTGGAGCGCCGCCCCGAAGCACGGGCTGGTGCTGATCACGAACGACGCTTTCGCCATCCGATCGTTGTCGTCCACCGCCTCTTCGCTCCGGCAGGACGGCGGCACCTTGAGCTGCTTCAGAGTTTCGTTCATGACTTTCATCCCCCACGCGCCGCTCACCGTCGTCGTGAACCCCTTCGGCGTGGCCAGGACTGACTTCACATGTTCTGGAGGGGCGGTGGCTTCGCTGTTCCTCTTCTCGATCAGTCCTTCCACAAAACTTGCTGCCAAGTGTCCGTACGGTGGTCCCAGTTTGTGGCCTTCGCCGTGCTCTCTGGCCATGCGCCCGTGCTCGCGCCCCGTCGCGAGGCTGGACTGGACGGCGTCGTTCGTGATGCAGACCAGCCGGAAATCGCCTACGTTGTTGCTCAATTCCCTGATCGCCGCGCTGTTCTGGAGGGCCAGCTTCTGGAGGGCTTTCATCTCGTCTCTGTGCTCTGCTGTCAATCCATTGCCTCCTCCACCTCCGCCTCGGGGGTTGCTGCCGCTGCTGCCCTTGCCCTGCCCCGAGTTCGCCGCCTTGGTACCTCGGACTGCTGCTCCTTGGTCTGGCCCTCCTGCACCTCGCTTTCCCTCGATCCGCCGTATCATGCCCTGGTCTCCCATGGCGGAAGGTAGTGTGGGTACTATGTGCTGCTTCGCCTCTGGGCTCGCGGATCTGATCTGGGCCTGCGAGGCGGCCCCTGATGTGCTGCTGAAGCTCCGCAGGTGTTTGAGCCTCATGTTTACAGATTCGACATATCAGTGTGCTGGGCTCCTGCACTTCGTGGGAACATCTGGAGCGATCTTTGTGACATATGCCGTGATGATGTACAGCTGGTGTGCAGTGGCCCACTGCTGTACGTCGGTTGGCAAACGTGCTTTAGTACCAAGGACACTGCTTAGTGACGATTACGGACGCCACCAGCGGTCGCACGTTGTGCGTCTTTCGGCGATGCCCAGCCAGCGCTGCATAGGTGGGGAACCTGTGCCCACAGACCTTCTCCCGTCCCGCTCGTCCTGTGTAACGTGGTCACACCAGTGCGGTTTGAGTAGTTCCTCCTCCTCTCCCTCACCTGGTACCTCCTCGCTGCTAGTAAGGACGTCCCAATTTCGTTCGTGACTGTATAGGGCCCTTGGGTCCGTCTGGAGCCAGTTGGAGTGCTCTGGGGTTCCCTGTTGTAGTAAGGCTACATCCGAGCTCCTCGTCTCGAACCATCCCATGCTCTCGTCGATCTCTGCAAGTGCCTGGAGGTCTTCTAAGTACTGGTGGGCCCAAGGGGTAGAACTAGCGTCGACCCATTTACCGTCCCTGAATCGCTGTATTCCCGGACTGTCGTCTAGCTTTGATGTGCCGAATACTGCCGCCACAACCGATCCGTGTTCCTTAGGGTGTCTCGCCCAGTTCTGGTACCACCTAAGGCGTCTGACTCTAAGAGCGACCGCGGTCCTCTCCAACCTCCAGTATCTGAACACCTGGGCGTTAGAGTTACACCTTACCGTGCCGCCCTCTCTCTCCCATGACATAGCCCCCCCTGCCATAGTCCCGAGGTGCTTCGCAAGCACGCTGTCCAATTCATCTGTATGGAAGCGCCAAAGTGTAAAAAGGGGCAAGACCGCTAAGCGCCGCTCCTAGCACGAATGCCATGGACATCAGCCGTTTGATCTGTCGTGGTGTATCTGATGTCCAGAAGATGCCACATTGTCTCCATGCAATCCGTACTGCTGTTATACGTCGACTTACTTCGCCTGCTAGCCCTTGGCCTGCTGGTAAGTAGGGTCTTATTACCCTCATTTCTCGGAGCGCTGTCCCCTGGAGTGTTTTGCGTCGTCGAAGATGCCTGGTTGCTGCGTAGCTTCCTGGTCCTACCAGATGTGCCAAGTGGTTGGTTATTCCATTGTTGAGATCCCAGCCCCCTTTAGCAATGGTGGTGGCGAGCTTTGCCGTGGTTGTGTTCAGCTCCTCCTCGATTTCCGTGTGGTGTAGGCCTGCATAAATGTGTGGATGGCAACGTCGTGTGTTGCTCCGTCGGTTGGGTTGATTGTGTCGTGCAACTGCTGGTTTGGATCCTTGCGTTCTTCCTCCCACCATTGAGTGACGTCCAGGTTGTATGCGTCCTTAAATTATCTTGGGCGAAGTGTGAAGCCCATCTGGGCTCCTGTAGTGCTGGCGGCCTCGGCTAGACCGTCGGATGCTGTTCAAGTGAGGGTAGAGTGTTCGATGGCTGCCATTGCAAACCGCTTGTCGTTGTCGTGAGCGTGTTTGAATTCAACTGCTCGAAGGAGTGTTCGGTTGGTGGCTGCAAATGCGTTGGTACCGTCATAGTTAGTAGCATCTGTGCCGATTCCTCCCTGTGTAGCCCTCCACTGCGCCGCGCACACACATATGATCGCATTCTCCCTACTTCTGTGTGACAGACCCCCCTGCGCCCAAGGGGGAGGTGTCGAAGGTTCTCCCCCCCTTGGTATACCAGAGGGCCATGCCATGCTGAACGAGTCGTACACATGCAATATGCGCTTACCCAGGATTCCTTCTTTTTTTCCCTCCTGGGAAAGCCTGGGATCCGTGCCAATCCAATGGTACAACCTGTGTCATTCTGCATTGCTCGAGGAATCTACCCAATCTAGGTTGGTACGCACATGTGTGGCTCGCCATCTTCGGCACTCCTATCCCTGCATGCTCACTTCTTCCAACGTCGTAAGATCGTGCTGTCCACACTTGTAGCTGCCGCTCTGCATCGTACTTCCCTCCGCCTCTTCTGCCCAAGGCCGTTCCCTCCTGCCATCCCATCTTCTGCATCCGTCCGAGCGTAGTGTCGTGTGCCAAGTCCTCCTCGTCTTCTCTTTCTTCCGCTGCCTCTATCCTCCTCCTCTCCATCCTCTCACTCCACTCTGTCGGGTCTTCCAGATGCACGGTAGGGTCGAGGAGGAGCCAGGTCATCTCTGTGGGTAGTCTCCATTCTGGCCATGCCCGTCGCTTGCGCGCTTTCTTGCAGTAACGTAGCATGGCTGCTTTGTCGGAGGTCGTGGTCGCGTGGGAGGGGGGATATGCATTCCTCGACGTACTCTGCATGCTCCCTGCGCGTGATCGCACGATCCAGAGGTTCTGCACCCAGTCCGCCCTTCAGTGCTGGACGGCTAAGTTCCAGCTCCCAGTGCGCCTTGGGCCAACTTGTCTTGGGAGTGAGATAGTACCTCTTCTTCGGGCCTCGGCCGTTCCTCTGGTACTGTATACGTAGGCGATGCATCTCAGCAAAGCTTCGGCGCTCATGTGCCAGCCACATTAGTTATATCTTTGCTTTCCGTTTTTGTCGGTAATTTCCCTGGCTGTTTTTAGAGCTGCCGTCACTTTTCTCAGTTCAGTCTGCGCAAGATCGTATTCCCTGTTGCCACATTCGTCACGCAGCCTCTCTCGTATCATACGCCTCCGTCGTAGTAGTTCAAGCCGGTATGTACGTGCCGTTTTGACTATGTGGTCGACCTCATCCCCGTGGGTGTGCTCCGAAAATTTGCTGCATGGCACGTCGTACTGCCCCCCCCAAATAAGTCCCAGGTGCTGTCTGGTGAGCTTTGCGCCAGCGCTCTCTCCCATGCTGCCTCCCCCCACCAGGCTGCTCTCAGCGGCGATGGCGTCGAACAGCTCCGCCTTCTTGTGCCCCCGCCGCACGCGCTCCATGAGGCCGCCCCTGCACGGTCCCTGTTGTCGGGGCGAGGTCGGAGCTGGGGATTTTGGATTGCCTGCTCGGTCGGACCGAGGTCGGAGCGAGGTTGGAGCTAGGTTAGGTTGGACCGAGGTCGGACCTGCTGGATTGGGGCGAGGTCGGAGCGAGGGCCGCCGGTGCCCTCCGCGAATTGGCGCGTCTGGTGCCTCCTCGAATCTGGGCGTCCAGCTTCCGCGCGCTCTGCAATGGGTGGAACGCCAGCCGCCGCGTGCAGCGATGAATGCAATGTGTATTCGGTTGTGGAGCTGCAGAGGACAGCCTGTTACATTATGCTTTTTGCCCGCGGGCCGCGGATTGTAGCCGGAGGTGGTGGGGCCTCATTCCGCGTCCTCCTCGCGATCGCCTGTCTAGCTTTCTTATGCCCCCCCGCCTTTCCGCGAGGACGCGGCCAGTGAATTCGCTCGCCGTGTCCTTGCCTCGTGCGCGCTGTGCGCCGCGGGGAACGCCGTGCGACGCGGTCAGACGACCGATGCACAGAAGGCCTTGGCGCAGTATGCGCGCCAGGATTGCGCATCGCGCGCCGGCCATGCGAACGTAGTAATTGCAGTATGGAACCGTTGATTTTTATCCTCCCTCCACCCTGCCGGTTCGTTCCGTCGTCGTTTCGGTTCGTTCGGTCGTGTCGTTTCGGCTCAGTCGTTCGTTCGCTCGGTTCGGTCATTGCTCCTGTTTCATGCCGCCGCGTATTACCATATTACAGCTGCCAGTTACAGTTCAGCGCGCTGCAACTCTGTGGCTCTTTCCCTTTTTGTGTGAGTTTGCAACCCTTTCTATACACGCCGACTTCGGATGTTGTGTTTTACCAGTGGGCCAGCTTCCTGTCCGAGGGCGAATGGATGACGCATTCTGGGATTTTTTGTTTGCATGGGTGTTTGTCCCTCTCTTGATATTCTTTGCACATGCTCCACCAACGCATTCTGGTCGCCACATGTATCATGCATGTGTTTGTCATTATATGTGTGCACGTATGGAATGATATGTTCCAATGAGCTCGTGAGGAGCAGTAGCATGGATGGGGTCGGGAGGAAGTATGGGCGGGGCAAGATGCGATGGGGGGGGAGGACGGAAGAGGGAACGGGGATAGAGGAGGGATTCGTCGTCGTCCACCCATCCTTCTCTCCCAGAGGGAAGAGAATGCTTGCAAGCATTTCGGGGTGGCTTCCAGGGGGCTTCGTTAGAGTTGTTCCAGGAACCTCCAACATGCTTCTAGGACGGCTCTAGATCCTCACGAATCCTGCTGCAACTTCTTCACTCTTCGGAGTTCGACCGGCGTCGACCCATGCATTCAATAGCCAATGTCATCTTCCGACCTCACAACTATCAGTAGGCTCAGTCGAAACGTCGAACCGTATTGCCCGCAGAGGATCTGTGGGCCGACCATCACGTCCTCAGCATGGCAGGGGCCCCCCACTGTCACGATGTGTCCCGCATCTCCGCGTTCTCCCGCGCGCTTCGACGTCCCACTGGTGGCCGCTCACAGCGTATCCGCGAATTTCTAGCGGCCCGCCTCTGGCCACGCACCCCACGCCCAACACTATCCTAGCGAGGAAGAGGACGAAGAGAGCGCAAACGGCACACTCCTTGCATGTCGGTCATGGACGGTTTTGGGCATGAAATTCATTTCCAGCTTTCGAACGCACGGGACTGCTCGATATGTAGAAATCCATTGCCAGCCAGACAGTGGTGTCTTCGTTTCCAGGGTATGTATTCTGTAGCATGTGGAGCTCAGGACTGATTGCTCTGAGCATGCCATGAATTTGTCTCCTTCATGCTCCCTGTCATTACTGCAGTGATATACGTTCCTTAGTCGAGCAAGTGGCCAGACTCGTATTTTGCTGTTGTTCTCATGCAGCCCTGTTCGTTCCGACGAGGTGACTCTCTATCACCCCTTCTGGAATTTGGAGAACAGGGCTTTCTTCACCGATGGTTTCAGGCGTACTTTTAGTGCTGTTGCGATGATGCAGTGCGCTGTGTCTTGGTATTCGGAACTCTGTTATACACATGCGATGTATTCGAGTCGCCTGCGTATGTGTTATATGAGACTTGTACGTGCATTCGTACCGTGGTCCTTCAGTATTATCTGGAGACGTGCAAATTTCGGGGATGCTGTTGATCATGGCTGGGACGGTGTGGGGGGTCGTCACTGGCCACTCATCGTTCGAAATCATGCGCCATCGCCATCATTACCACCACTACCATCATCATTACCACGGTGGAAGTCGATTAATGGAGAGGAAGCGTGCTGCCAAATAATTGCCAGATGTTAGAACATGTTTCAAACATGTTTTCCATCTGCAAGACCATGATTGATACATTTGTAGAACATGTTTTACACATTTTAATCACATGTTTAATTCAATGACAGGATTGTTAGAGTGTCCATTGTCATGGCATCCACAACATTACCACCACTTCACCACTGCCTCCATCATCACCATGGTTCCCCTTATACAGGCTGTGCCAACTGGACCCAGCGAGTGCTGGGATGCGTGGCTCCTGGGCAACAGCTTTAATAGCACTGCCAAGTCCCTGGTGGACTTGTTGTGAGCAGCTCATTGTCCTCCCCTTCACCCTCTCCTCCCGATTCCTGGTGGCTGCCCTAAGACGCGTCCTGGCCCGTCAAGTTCGAATCCTTCAGCGGCATCCTGCATTGGAGGGGCCGTGCGTGACGGTGGGGCGCCTGGGAATTGCCCTGGAACGAGTTCGTCCACGCGGTCAGTTTTTGAGGAGCACGAGGGACAGGACAGGAGGACGAGGATGGGGAGGAGGAGGAGGAGGATAGAGAAAGGAGGCGGCGGCGGAGGAGGCACGCGCTGTTAGGTCTTCCAACATGCGCCGCACCTGCGCACGAGTTGTTCCGATCAACATAATGTCATCCGCACACCGGAGGTTCGTGAGACGTTTGCCCCCTAGTTTCACTCCGAAGCCTCCTCTCTCCCACTTCTCTTTGAGATCGCGCATAATTGATTCCAGCAGAGCATTGAACAGAGTGGGGCTCGTCGGATCCCCTTGCTTCTGTCAAAGATCTGTTGTGATCGATCTCGCTATCGATCTCACTATCGATCTCTCGATCCCATCATCGATCACGCAATCGATATCATTATCGATCTCACCATCGATCTCACAGCAAATCTCACGAGCTACCATCGGGACATCACGGCGGGACACCCCAGACCACTGGGGCACCCCGCGCCACCGACGGGGCACCCACGCGCCACCGACGGGGCACCCCCGACCAGGCCACCGGTGGGGGGCTCTCCGTTCCACTGTGATCTCACAGCCCCGCCTCTGACGATCGTGATGGTAACGATGGCGCAGGAACCTCAGACGCAATGCGCTTGGGACACCACGAGATCTCACCGTCGACCTCACTGTCGACCTCAGTATTGATCTCATTATCGATCTCACTATCGATCTCTCGGTCTCACGATCGATCTCACGATCACGATCGATCACGCAACCGATGTAACTATTGATCTCACAAGTTATCTCACGAGCAACCATCGAGAAACCACGACGGGACGGACACCCTGAGCCACCGTCGGGACACCCCGCGCCACTGACGGGGCACCCGCGCGCCACCGACGGGACACCGACGCGCCACCGACGGGACACCGACGCGCCACCGACGGGACACCCCTGGCCACTGCGCGCGGGGGGGGGGGGCGGGGCGGACAACCGGCTCCACAGCCTGTAGCCACGGCGGTATCATTCCTCTCGCGCGCCCATGCAGCTTCGCTTCGCCCGCGCGCACGACACGAACACGAAACGGAAACCGATTTCCCGGTGGGGGGCTCTCCGTTCCATTGCGATCTCACCCCCCAACTTCCGACCTTCATAATTTCCGCTCAATCAGGTGTCTTGAAAACGTAATTATGATGCGCGTGTCTACGTCCCTTTCGGGGTGCGTGGGCCGGTGATGTCTTCGTTTCGTGCTTCCCCTTCGGGCCCGTCTTGTTGCCCTCGTGGGCCGTCCAGGGCGACTCTTGGGTTGTCTTGGGGCCCTCTTGGGGGCCTCTGGGGCCGTCTTGTGGCGGTCTTGGGGGCCTCTTGGGACGTCTTGGAGCGTCGGAACCTGAAAAATGGAAAACTCTACTCTCGGGGCCCATATGGAAAGGCGCTTGTGTCTCCCCTGGGGTGTCTCGACGGCTTCTTGGGCCTTCTTGGGACCATCTTGGCCCTCTTGGCATGCCACCTCGTGCTCCACCCTTGGGATGCCACCTCAAAATATGCTCTCTACACGGTCACCCGTCACGAGGCATTCGCGGGACAGCGTCTCATTCGCTCTGACTCGTTTCGATCCGGGAGGAGAACCTCCTTCGCCTTGGTTTCAGTTGTTCACCTTACTTGGCGCGCCGTCGGCAGGGGTCGACCAGGCCTCTCGCTCCGAGGGTGTGCAACACAGACGGGGCCCCAAGGGCGCCCGCGAGGGCGCGGAGTTATTTGCGCTTCGCGGCTCGCGCTTCTGCTCCGCCTCCTCCTCGTCCTTCTGCTCTCCCCCTGGGGGGCAGCGAGAGAGCGCGAAGTGATTTGCGCTCTCGCGCAGCGCGCAGAGCGAACTGCCGACTTGGGCACCGAGGGGGCTCTGGCCCCAGCGACGACACAGGCAAGCCGCAGTCCGTGATTCCACAAGCGGAACGATCGCGGGGTGCGCCGCGCGCCCGCCTTGTGTCGACGGATTTGCTCTTGCACCCTTCGCCGTGGCCATTTGGGCATGTGGATGACGAGGACCGTTACGACCGACGATCGACGATCGAGGACGGGAATCGAGGTTCTTGGACGTCTTGCTTCTTGGCGAGGGTCCAAGGTTCTCTGTTACTATGTACTGCCCCCGGTTTTGACTTGAAGAGGACCTGCGGATGTCCGCTCGATGAAAAAAAAAAACCATGTGAAGTCGAATTTTGGACCGAAATTCTGACGATGTGTCGAGCGAGATGCTGTTTTCTCCCGGGATCCAGGCCCAGGGTTCTCTCTTTCAGTCCGTAAGCTTGCCCCCCGGTGCCAAGTTCGAAGAGGGCCCGCAGATATCCGTTCGACAAACAACGAGGCAAAGTTCCATGTTGTTTTGAAGAAGTGCGTTTCGCACGTGCCCACTCGAGGAAAGTGTGCCCCCTATCTCGGATCCTCGATAAATAGTGGGGTGCGCAGACTCCCGATTTCTTTTGTAATACATATGGTGCAAAGCGTTTTGCGGATAATTGGAAATGAATAACAAGGTCTGGGGACCCGACAAATTTGCAGAAAATGAGCAACCATTGACTTTTTGCGTGCCCGCTCGAGGATGGCGCGTTCTGCGCGAAGGATTTTCGAGGGTATCTCGAGCGAAACGCTTGTTTCGCAAAACTTGCGGGGCTTCGGCGCCCCAGGATGCCCAGGTGGTTTTGGAAATGCGGAAGCGCGGGAAAGCACGCGGGTTCGTAACGCCTCCGGGCGGGACAAGCGTGACATCACCCGGGTGCCTGACGCCTCAGGGCGGAACAATCGTGAAAGCACTTGGTTTTTAACGCCCCAGATCGGGACGAATGTGAAAACAAGCGGGTTCCTAACGCCTCAGAGCGGGTCAAGAGTGACAACACGTGGGTTTTTTTTTGCGACCTAGAGCAGGACAAGCGTGAAAACACATGGTTCCCAACGCATCAGAGCGGGACAAGCGTGCAGGCACGTGGTTCCTAATACCTTAGAGCGGGGCAAGAGTGACAACACGTGGGCTCCTAACGCCCCAGGGCGGGACAAGCGTGAGCACACGTGGGTTCCTAACGCATCAGAGCGAACAAGCGTGAAAACACGTTGGTTCCTAATTTGCCAGAGCGGGACAAGCGTGAACATGCGTGGGTTCGTAACGCGCTAAAGCGGGACAGGCGTGACAACACGTGGGTTCCTAATGCCTCAGGGCGGCACAGGCGTGAAAACACATGGGACTTGGACAAGCATGAAAACACATAGGTTCCTCCCCCCCCAGGGCCGGACAAGCGTGAGAACACGTGGGCTCCTGACGCCCCAGAACGGGACAAGCGTGACAGCACGTGGGCTCCTGACGCCCAAGAGCGGGACAAGCGAGAACACACTTGGGCTCTTGACTCCCAAGAGCGGGACACGCGTGAACACACGTGCGGGTTCCTAACGCATCAGAGCGGGACAAGCGTGAAACACACGGGTTCCTAGCGCCCAAGAGCGGGACTAGCGTGAACACACATGGGTTCCTAATGCCCAGGGCGGGGCACACGAGACAACGTGTGGGTTTCCACCGCCCCAGAGCGGGACGGCGTATGCCCCTCCCCCCTCAGCGCGTCCCTTGGTTCGTCCTCTGTCGCGTTCCCTGGCTTGTCCCCTGGCGCTCTCCCTGTCCGTTCCGTGGCGCGTTCTTTGCCACGTCCCCTGACACGGCCCCTGGCGCGTCCCCTAGTGCGCCCCTGGTACATTCTGTGGCGCGTCCATGCGCCCTGCGCCTCGTGTCGTCTCGTCCCGCTTTGGAACTGAGTCGGATCTTGAGCTCGAGTTGCTTGTTTCTTCTGCGACCTTCGACTTGAGCTAGCTCTGGGCGAGGTGGACCGTCAGGCAGCTCGAGCCCAAGATCCAAGTCAGTTCGGGCAGGTCCCGTGGCGCGTGCCTCTGGCACATCGCGCGGCGCGCTGGCACGTCCCTTGGCACGTCCACTGGCACGTTCAGTGGCGCGTCCCTTGGCACGCCACTGTGCGGTGCGGCACAGCGCAGAGAAGCACGACACAGCCCCTGGCACAGTGTCATCACCATTGGTCTCTTCAGCATTGCCACTGCCCATCGCCCAATTGAGGTGCTGGAACATGTTTCCAGGCCTCTCAGTTCTAAAGCTCTTGCTGGGTTCTTGGGTCGATCATGTTGAGTTTCCGCTGGGTGAATCACGTGGTCAGCAGGCTTTCGTTTCTCTTAGTTGAGAAAGAAAGTGCGTAGCGTTTTGTGCAGACTCCTAGATCAATAATAGTGTTTGGAAGCCAAGCGATGTACATACTAGTTTAATGCACTTGCTTTTTGCGTGCCCGCTCCAGGATGGGGCGTCTTGCGCGCAGAATTCTCGAGAATGTCTCGAGCGACACGCTTGTTTTGCAGCACTTGAAGGGCCTGGGCGCCCCAGGATGCCCAAGTGGTTCTGGGAGTGCGGTCGCACAGTTATTTACCAGGGATCGTAGCCGCTGGAGCGCGGACGCAGCGTAATTTGTAAGTGATCCTGGCCCTGGAAGCGCGGACGCATCGTGAGTTACAAAGGATCGTGGCGCTGCGGGGGGCGGACGCAGTGAAATTTGCAAGGGATCCTGGCCCTGGAAGCGCGGACGCATTGTGATGTACGGGGGATCGTGGCCTGGGGGCGGACGCAGCGCAATTTACTAGGGATCGCGACCATGCGAGCGCGGGCACAGCGTGCTTGGCGAGGGATCCTGGCCCTGGAAGCGCGGACGCATTGTGGTTTACGGTGGATCGTGGCCCTGTGGGGGGCGGGCACAGGGTGATTTACGATGGTTCCTGGCTCTGGAAGTGCGGGCGCAGCGTAGTTCATGATGGATCGTTGCCGTGGGAGCGTGGACGCCCTGGGAGCGCGGGCGCATCACCATTTGAAAGGGATCGTGGCCCTGGGAGTGTGCATCGCCATTGCCCATCGCCCCATTGAGGTGCTTGGAAGCGTCCCCAGGCCTCGCAGTCCTAAATCCCTCCCCGGGTTCGTGGGCCGATCATGCTTGTTAGCAGTCTGTCAGCAGCCAGGCAGCGACGAAGCGACACAGCGCGACTCGCGACATTGGGGTTATCATATAGCCGCGACGGCACCAGCATTACGTCACCAACGACGTTGCATGAATTAAGGCAGCCTTGGGCAAGGGTGGGACTGATAGGCGGGTGGTATTGTCATTTGGATGACACAACGAAAGAAACAGCTCTGAGACTGATCAGGTGGGCGGCCACGGTCTCTCCACGCAGGCCAGTCGGCCCGTCCCTTCCAAGGGACGTTTGGCGCGTTCGTTCGTTCGTGCGTTCGCTCGTCCTCGTCTTCCGTCCGTCCGGTCTCGCGCTGGACCCCTTCTCAGGCAGTACGTCGACGTCTCTGGGCTTCCTGTGCACCTGATGGACCGCGTCCAGCCCTCCCTCGACCTGATCAAAGATCATGCACCTGCGGGCGGAGGAAGCGGGCGGAGGAGGAGGATGAGGAGGAGGAGGAGGAGGAGGAGGAGGAGGCGGAGGAGGAGGAGAAGGAGGAGGAGGAAGAGGAGGAGGACGAGCAGGAGGAGGAGGAGGAGGAGGAGGAGGACCTGGTTCTAGGGCTCCGAGGTATGACATGGAACACTGTGCAGCGTCGAGGCTCCGATGCACCAGGCTGCCTGAGCACAGGCCGTCCTGCAAAGTGCGAGCTTCCCTACTGGTTGGAAAGGGGCCCCGCGATGCAACTGCCGACCACGGAAGGTGCCGATGAATGGGGGAGGTTTTTGGCGTTTCCTGCAGGTTTGATCTGTCGCTTGAGACTGCGAAGACCTTACGGCCGGTGCCGCCGAGCCTGAAGGGGACGTCGACGACGACGGCGTGGCGGCGGCGACGACGACGACGCTGACGTGGGCCCGAGTCCTGAGGGATGCTTCTTGGGGTCTCTTGGGAAGGCTCTCGGGGGCCTCTGGGGAGGACTTTTGAGGGCGTCTTGGGGGCCTTTTCGGGTGTCCTGGGGGCCACTTGTAGGCTTCTTGGGGCCTCTTGGGGACCTCTTGGGGCCTTCTGGGAGCTTCTCGGGTCCGAGGGCTCGAAATATCCGTTCGGGTTCCCCGTCATGGCACGCTCTTGGAGCCGTCTTGGGAGACTCTTGGGCCGTCTTGGAAACGTTTTGGGCTGTCTTGGGGTTCTCTTGGGAT